CGCGTTTATTTACAGGGGGAGTAAGTCAATTATATGTTCTTGCCTAAATTCACGTCCGTCCTGACATATCGTGAGATGCGTCGTTATCGGGCGTTAAAATAACGCTCGGCGTCACGATGCTCTTACTTGTCTCTCCTCGAATTTTCGTTAACCGGCCTCTCTCTTCGATAGAGACTGCCCTCTTAACCGAAACAAAGAACGACGCTCGAACGGAGTGCCCTCTACCGAGTACTTTGATAATTATATTCCGTTTTGCGAATGCTACTAACCAATCATCGTTCTTCTCATTTTGCACGACCTCTCACGACGATCGGATGAAAATTTGATTTTAGTTAAAGTAAATTTACCTGGCCTGACTAAATATTAACGTCATGAATGAAGGACAATTGTATCTCAAATGTAATATGTATTGTTAAATTTTCAAAAATTGTGTACATGCAATATAATATGATTTTGATGACAAATATATATTTTTTTTTTACGTATTACGTATAAATTATTCTTCAAAATATATTAAAATTAAAAATTAAAAATATTTAAAATATAAAAAAAATTTCTTTGTTTTCTATGAATATTCTCTACAAATATTCTATTGATATTCAAAAGAACTATATCTATTAAAAGAACTATATCTATTTTATTTTAATTTTTATGCAATTTAATCATTAGCAAAACAATTACGAAAATAAATTTCAATAAAAAAATAAGCAAAGTAAAAAATGAACTTTGTATAAAAAATTAATTAGAGCAAAATTTGTATATAAAATATATAAAATATAAAATATTATAAAGCAATATTTCGTATCTAAAATAAATATTAAAAAAATGTAGTCATATTTTCTTGAAAAATTATAAAATAAATAGAAGCACTTATGCTCCCTTTTAAATAATATCCTTTTAAATAAATAAATTTTTCCATTTCAACTCATTTTCAAATAATTAAAAACTATTACTTATTATTGTTAAATTTTGATTCTAACATTATTTTTCGAGAAAATTAACACATAATAATTTTTAACTATTAATTATTACCATCAATCTCAATGGTATATATTATTCTTAATAATCTAATTTTAGTTTAATTTTCTAATTATATAAATAATAATTAGAATAAAATTTACAATAAATTATTTCGAAAAATAATGCATAATTATACGGAATTATGAATTAGTAGAAAATGTTTCAAATATTTTTAAATTATTAAATATATTTTTTTATCAAAACATATTAAATATATCTCGAATAATTTATATTTTTAAGAAGTACAAAATTATTTTATTTTATTATTTAAAACTTTGAAATCTCTCTATATATAAAAAAAATATTTTTTTTATGCATTTAAAATGAAAATTTTTTAATGTTAATATTTAATAATATTTTAAGATATATAATAAAAAAAAATTATAAATAATATATTTAGATTTTATATATGCATATAAATATTTTATATATATGTATATGCATTTAA